ATGTTTGTCAACGGGTGAAGTAGGATTCCTGAAGACCGAGTGGATTATTCAACCTCTACTGATACTCGATCGTGGAGGATATTCCTATGGACGTCACTGAAGGGCCACCCGAAGTCGAATGGATTTAATGGAGTAATGGTGGTGGTGGATCGACTCGCCAAATATACACATTTTGTTACACTTACACACCCTTACACAGCAAAATTAATAGCCAAGTTGTTTGTGGAATACGTGGTTAAATTGCATGAGGTGCCTCAATCTATTATGTCTGACCAGGATCGAATTTTCGTGAGTAGCTTTTGGAAGGAATCTTCAAGATGCACGGTACCGAGTTGGCATTGAGTTCGGCATACCACCCTCAAACGGATGGCCAAACTGAGGTAAAAAATCGTTCATTGTAACAATACCATAGGTTTACGTCCATCAGTTTCCAAATAGATGGGAAGAATTTTTGCCTTAGGCTGAATTTTGGTAGAATACTACGTATCATGCATCTACCAAGTTTAATTCGTTTGAATTAGTTTACGGACGGGCGGCACCAGTACTCATTGCCTATCCGTTGGGAAATTGTTGAATGCCGAGGTCGATCGAAAGCTAATGGAAAGGGATTTGATGATTCGGGAGCAAGACTAACTTGTACGGATCAATCAACCGAATTAAAGAGTATTATGACAAGGGACACGTGAAGAGAAATTTGAACCGGATGAGTGGGTTTACTTTAAGTTACAGCCATATCGCCAAAAGACATTTTTGAAGAATGCTTTGTATAAACTCAAAAGTCGTTTTTATGGGCCATCTCAAATCAAAGAAAGCATGGGAGTAGTAGCTTATAGGTTGGATTTACCGGCAGACTTACAAATCCATCCTGTCATTCATGTCTCTCAATTAAATAGGAGTCTAACTGATATTCAGAAAATTCGAACGAGGCTACCAGATGTGGGTCGAGAAGGAAAACTCATAATACGACCTAGCATGGCATTAGACTATTGAAAAGTAAAGAGAGTCGGGCGATTTTTTGGGAGGTTTTGATCGAAAGTGAAGAGTTACCCGAAGAAGAGGAAACATGGGAAAATGTTCAGGACATTCCAAATTTTATCCTTGAGGACAAGGATTTACTCGAAGGGTACAGGAATGATACGAGTGGGAGTCGTCTTCTTAATAATTCGTACAACCGGGCTCGAAGAGCTCATATGAAGGAAGCTCAGATTGATGAACAAAGTTGCAGGTCTGTGCAGTCCTTGCAGCAGCCCATCACGGCTCATACCACGTTGCGGGACTTGTCGCACCGCGGCGCTTCACTACCTCCACGCTGTGAGCCTTGCCATGAGCGGACAAAGAGCTTGGAGCAGTAGACCATCACACCGTGGACTCGCAGGCTCGTCACGCAGCAAAACTTCACGTGGAGAGTGTAACGGGCCTACAGGGACTACGAGAGGAAGACACGCAACGCCGCGATGCAACCCCACACCGCAGCAGGGGGCCACCTCCACGCCGTGACACTAGATGGATCGTGGAACACAATAGCAGTTTAATATCAGTTTTTTATGTTTCTTTGCAGCTTTTCATGTTTGTTTTAGGAAACCGTATCTTGTTGTAGGAAGTTTAAGTACTTTGTTTTTTTTTTTTAACTTTAAGAAAAAGCAATATCATAAATCACAAAAAGCTCATTTTTTTGGCACCATATTCTTGTGTCGACCAAGGCCGATCGTGCAGGTTCACACGTTTTCATTGTACGTTTGATACACGATCGTAACACGGTGTTGGGACGTGGTGTATTTATAGGCTACAACAAGAACCCCAAGGAGGTGCTAAATATGGGTTTCCCGAAATAGGATTAGAAAACCTTATGTCTTCCAACTTATTATCCTTCTAGAAATCATAACGCCTTCTACCTTAATTAACCTTCTAAAAGACCTTTATGTATTCCAACTGAGTAAAATTTTTGAAGACATCAAATCTCCTGCTTGTTAATATTCTAGAAGACCTTTTAATTCTGAATTAATATTTGAATAAATAATAAAACACTCCACTAGAATAATATTATTGATCTCCTCATTTAGCTTCAAAGTACATAATAATTCGACCTTCTCTTAATTAATATAATTGATCGAATTACTTCCTTATATTTAAGATATAGCATACATTAATTAATTTAATTACATACAATAAATATTAATTATTATTTTATTATAAGAAATTAGTACCACTCGGTTCTTAATTATTATGTTGAAAAGTAATCCGCCTGTAGGGCTTAACATAACAAATCTTCCTGAGCTCATTTTGAGGACGTGATCAACCCAGGGAACCGGGATATAGTTACCGTAAAAAATTTCGACGGGACACCATGTAAATAACATTATTTACCAACATATCTAGTATGTCATCCTAATTAAAATAGGAATCATCTTTGGTAAATCAAACAAATAAGTGATGAATACATATGCCCGTTTATTGTCTTACGGGTAAGAGAACGCATCAGTTTCATAATCTTATCTTCTGTGTCCATTCAACACTCAAAGTGTACTAGTGTAATTCATTATCCAAAGATCAACTGAGTCAAAATTACAGTACAACCTCGACACATCTAACCATATTATCTACAATGTAAGATAAAGGAACTTATGCTCGCGTAAATAAATAAACTGCAAACATAAATACTTGACTAAAACATAATTCTCATTTTAAATGGTATTATCAGAAACTAAAAGTCGAACTTTTACAGTATACCCTATCAATCTTACACTTATATTTTATAAATCTTTCGACTATTATTAAGTATATCTTCTTTCAATCTATTTCTCAAAAAATAATCTAACTGGTCGCCACACGCTTGACTCCCACTCATACATACCGGTCGAAGACAATGATATGAACACAATGATATGGTAGTAACAACCATGGTTTAGAAACCAGACCGAACCGGTCTGTCCAACTGGTTAGAACGAGAACAAATCAATTGATCAGTCTAGCTAGCCGGAATGAGTGACTGCCAGCGAATCTGTCAAAAACCAATCAAAGATCGGTTGAACTGGTCAAAACTGATTAGAACCGATCAAAAACCAGTCTGGTCCAAACCGGTTTGGTCTGACCAGTTTGAACCGATCATTTTTTTTAAAAAAAAAATATTTATCTTTAATATAAATAAAAAATACATAAGAATTAACAAGGCAAGACCAGTACAAATAAAGAAAAACGAGAACCCCAAAATTTCCCTCTTCCCAAATTAAAAAACCTAGTCGTCGTCTTCAAGCTGTCGCCGCCACCTCTTCCTTTCGGACGCTCCGCCCGCCCGACGCCGGTTGTCACAGGTCCGCAAAGATGGTCCCCCTAGGCCAGGTCCCAGCCAGGCATAGGGCTCACTGATTCAAGATTTCCTACTCTCTCTAGTGGCTCTAAAGGCGTCAGTTGGGGCTGCGCGACGAGCTCCGACCTTGCTCTCAGTCCCGGTTGGAGCTGAGGTTCGGTTCCTTCCCCCTTTCCCCTTCGGTCGTCTCCCTGTTTTGTGTTATGGCTTGGTCGGTTGGCCTTATTGGGCTTCTGGATTGTGGGGCCGCATTTGGCCAGAGGTTTCTGGTGAGCTGGTTTAGGGGTGGGGCTAGGCTGAGTCCAACTAGCCATGGTTCACTGGAGTTTTTGGTTCAGTATTCAGATTGCAGTCTTATCTTTGTGGGCGTTTATCTCTGGGTATCGGACCGATGTGTGTGCGGTTTGTTTTCGCCAATTGGAAGGAGGGTGTTATTCTAATTAGTTAGTGTTGTATTGTTTGTGTTGTTGCATCAGTTTTTCTTGTTTTTTTCTTTGTGTTGTTTGTGCTTTTGGTGCTTCTCCTATTGTTAGGGGATTATTCTTCTTTAGTGGGAGCTTATTCTCCTCTAGTATGAACGAACTCTTGTCCCATTTTGGGTGTTGTTTAGTTAGGATGTTGTCTTGTGAGCAAGTTTGTGTAGTCTTTCTAAGCTCCGAATTCGAGATACTCCCGCTACATTCAACTAGATAGTTGTTTGGCTTTTCTGGATGTGTTCTAGTTGTATCTCTACATTTATTTACAAAACCTATCGTTTCGGTAGAATATTAAAATATACATGTTTAAATATAATTAATATTTATAAATATATTAGTATTAGTTATTTTAAGTATTTGAATGCTTCTAATTGGCTTACTATTTAATTAAAAAAGTTTTATATGTAAATTTTATTACGTAAAATATTATATATGTTTAAAAATATTAATAAATTAAACACCAATTCAACCGGTTCAACCACTGTCGAATCAGTGACCCATTGAACCACAGTAGCTTGACCGGTTCGATGGTTGTCTTTTTTTTACAACCTTAATAAAAAACAATAAATACCGTGCATACAAAGTGTTTTGCCACACATTCTACGGTTATAAACTCCAGGCTAACGTCCTAAAAAACGAAAGAAAAAACCAAAGAAAATAGAGGAGCAACTAGAGATTATTTATACATAAAGCTGCTCCATGTGGCTAGTTCAAATCCAAACGTGTGTCGCACACGAGCAAACCATATCCAACAACTTGGGAGCAGAAGATTAGGGGCAAACTTTGTAAAACCTGCGAAAAGAAGAGTGAAAAAGAGGCTAAGGACCCAAAGAAGCATACAAAGGTCAAATGAAACCACAACAAATGCAACTGGTGGCTATTGTCTTAGATTTTCTGTTGATTTTTTCCAGATAGGTTCACATTGTTCCTAGTAATAACAAATGAAACGCTTCTCAATCCATCACTTCGTAAGGGTTACATTGAAGGGATTACTCATTATATAAGCCCAAGATTTTCTGGATGATGCGTATTTCTATTTTATCCAGAGATGCACGATCAACTTACGAACTCTGATGAAGACACCGGCCGAACAGCAACAATCTGCAAGGAAAATGGACCGGCCATGTTCAGGTAAATGATAATGTCTGAGTAAACTTATATTAAGCAGCACAAACTTGCAATAAACTATTAAGCAGCACAAACTTGCAATAAACTCATACCAGCACTGTTTTAATCCAGACATCCTCTCCAAGTAATCCACAGCTTGGAGAATTGCATGAATAGTCATTTTCTTCACCTTCACAAAAGATTGAATATGTCAAGGCCTGGTTAACTCATCTAGCACATTTCCTTTCCTTCTTTCCTAGTATTTATGTGTGTGTGTGTGTGTGAGTGTGTGTGTGTGTGTGTGTGTGTGTGTGTGTGTAATAATCTATTTAAAGCTTGTGCATTCTTTAATGAGGCTGGATGAAACAACATTATCTTTCTTCGATACGGATGCCACATATGCATGCCTAAATTATCAGATTCAAAAATAAAGAATACATAAAAGGTTGAAATTATACCTCTAACTTGTCTTCCTTAGCCCTATGATTTTGAGGAAGAGTGCGGAATTCATCTGTTAACCGAACGCACTCTTGGACGTTTTCCGGTGAGACAAAGTCAAGTGCGACCTTAATGCAAGACTATTAACAAAAAATAGAAAAGACAGAGAGGGAATGCGTTTTAGCCCAAAAAGAAAGCAAGTGCAATGCAAACCATGAGTTGCAGTCTGGCAGATGATGATAATAATAATAATAATAACAATAATAATAATAATAGTAATAATAATAATAATAATAATAACAACAACAACAACAACAACAACAACAACAACAATAATAATAATAATAATAATAATAATAATAATAATAATAATAGTAATAATAATAAAATAATAATCGTGAGAAAAAAACAGTAACACCAAAAGTAAAGGAAATTCTACTCGGGGAATTAGATAAGTATTGCAATGAACAACAGAAATAACCAAAGAAAATCCCGGAACCAAATATTGGATAATGTGATCAGCTTTGTATCTTGCTCAACCACGCTAGCGGTAGTGGAGAGAAAAATAGACGCTGGCTAAGTGTAGCAAGGACACTACTGATATTACAAACTAAGGCCTTCTCCATCTTAACAGACACTTGCATCACTAAAACTTTGTCCACTTCAGTGCTCCAATGGAAAATCCCTCATGAAGCACTTGCAGACTGAATGTGATTTGGTGGCACATAAATAACAAGGCCCATTAGCTTTCAAATTAGCTGATAATTTTACCAAGTCTGTACTGGTTGGTCAGTTTCAGATTCGCAAGTTGGGTTAGCAGGATTTGCATCAAATGTCTACTTCAAGAAGAGATGTTGGAAGTGTAAATTGTAAAGGCTTTAGAAATGTATTTTCTCCCTCCTTTCCTACCTCGTTTGTTAGACTTTGTGGGGTCTATGATGCAGATGAAGCCGCACTCGCTTATATAGAAAAATACGAGAGGCTTCATATTTAGTTATCTATTTATTATTTATTTCCTAGTTTATATTATTGCATGTTATTTAGGATTATTATTTGTCTTGCCTAACAAGATAAATAATAGGAATAATAATTAGGAGTCTTGGGGTTTCCCTATATATTGTACTCCTATCAGAACCTTTTACGCAGTTTTATTGAAATAAAGATTTATATTCTTCTGGTTTCTTGAGTTCTTCAAGAACAATTCTCCCTTTTGTCTACCACGTGCTGCATCAGTTGGTATATCCTACGATGCCGCCACGGAGAAACGACAACGAACGCCGTGATCACCACCTTGAGGATCTGGATCGCCAGACGGATGACCTAGGGTTCCAAATCGACGGGGTGAATCGCCGTGTTGCGGATCTGACTGATGGGGTCGAGGAAATCAGGCAGGCTATGCGAACTTTGCTCGAACGGGATGAGACAAGACGCGAGGCTCACGGCCGGGGCCATCGCGGTGGGGCTCGCGGCGGGCGCGGCGGAAGGGGGTCGTTCGGACTACACCGATCGCGTTCCCCGCGTTCGTCACACGGCCGGCGCGATGACAGCGAAGACACGCCGTCGGACTTCAACCCTTTCGGGGCCCGACGGGACGGACGGGATCCATTCCATGGCGAGTTTGACTCCGACTCCGAGCGGGACTTA